CTGTAATTGAAATTTAGAGCCTTAAATCAAAATTGCGATCCAGAGAACCTTTGCTCTTTGAGCAGCAAACGCCAGAAGCTGGTGGAGACACTTCCGGTTAGGTGTTAGGCTCCTGCTCCTTTGATCTCCTGCGGCAAAGCTGTAGCCTATCTCCAGGAGGTTCAAAGTGCACGTGCTGCATCCACCTTTTCCGCTCAAAGCCGAGTGCCCGTGCAACCAGAGCACTATTTATTGCAGCCGGAAGCAACAGCCCAAGGGGGAGTGTGGCTGCAGAGCCTTGTGGTCAGCGTGCTCAACTGGAACATAGATGAAAAGAGAGGAATTGGGTCCCAATCCCTCTTCTCAAGAATATATGTACTGTGAGTGTTCGGGGGGGTTAAGTGCAAGGAATAGCTAATATAAAATGCATTTTAAAAGTCCTAAGAAAGAGAACCGCAGCCTCCCTCTTAGATAAGTGCATTAATCAGTGGGTGGTTACCTTTCTCTATTGCATATTTTCTGGTGTAGCAACTTGCGTGTTTGGCTGCTTAGTGTCTTAACTTCAACAGGGAAGGGCAAAAAATACCTTATCCTTGAGTAATCTCTTCTCGCAGGCAAGTGGAAAGGGTATTTGAACCATTGGGGCAGGTGGCAACAGAAGCCAGGGCTCCATCTCGTTGGTCTGGCAGGATTTAGCTGCTCTTATTGGCAAGTTGCAGACAGTTCCCATTAACCAAAAGGCTTTTTGGATCCCTCTTCTGCTGTTGCCTCTCTGCGTACGCTGTCCCAGGAGCCTGCACGCTGAGCTCTTAATTCTTCCTCCCACTTAAGGGAAGAGGGACAGACGCTAAACCTTTCTGGCACCGTGTTTCACTTAATTCCTGCATTTCACTGGTCTTGACTGGACTCCTAAGGCTTTCTCTGCCAAAATCAAGAAGCTAAAAATTAAAATAATTATTACGGTGAGGGATGCAGTCAAAGAGGACGTCGACTTCCAAGTCTAAGTGTGATCTAGCAGCGCAGCAAGTTAGGTTTGATCTCATCTGGGACATGCTGATCTCCACGAGGTAATTTTGCCCTGGCTTCTCTGAGTGTAGCCGTGAGTAAGCCGTTTGGGCCGAGAGTAAATGGCAATTTCTTGCAGCGAGGATGGGCTTTGGAGACGTTGAACTGCAGATGCATTTGTTCACCATGCGTATAACTGATGGTCTCTCTGTGGCTTTTTCACTTGTCGCTCGGATGTTTGGTGATGAGTTTGCTTGTACTTTATTGGATTTCATAGCAACCTGTTAGGACTTTCCTTTCTTGCACGCGCTAAGAGCGTGCTGTTCCTCTGCGGTTTCCCATCACTGCAATAATCAGAGAGACGACTGAGTAGATACATGCAAAGTTTTCCAACTCTTTGAGTATTAGAAGTACAGGTAGAAGATAGGGAGGTCGAGGTCCCTCAGAGATGTGGGAAGGGGCTGGACCTTCTGTAGGGACGTGACTGTGTATGAATTCAGCTAGACTTTGAGCGGTGTGGCATTGTGCACATCTCTGGATGAGGTGAAAATGGCCGAATAATATTTTTTGACGTTTTGTTTCCTTATTCTGGGTGTTTTCTTTTGCTGGCTTCCTTCTTTCACCTTCCCAGATGTCTCCTCTGAGCAAACTTCCTTGATTTGTATTGTTCCACTTTGTTTTTCATTCTCCTTCTTGGATAAAATGCACTTTCTGTAGCTGCAGTTTCCTAGAGCACTATGAAATGCTTTTCCCCCCTGCACTGGATTTTGAAGTATTAGCTGCAAAGGAAAGGGGAGGGATATCCTAATTCAGATGTATTTCTTCCTTTACCTTGTGTGTCTTGAAAAAGTTACTAAAGTCACATACAAACGATGCTGATTTGTAGCTACCGTCTGTGAATGCAGGACCGGTTTTTAAACAAAACTGTTTCCGAATGGCATTTTTAGTGCATTTGTTATCTGTTCAGGGGAAAGAACAGAGCTCTGTACATCAATAGCAATAATCTGTCTCCCACAAATGGCAGTCTGTGCTCCCAACTACCACTAAAACCCAAACAAAACAAAGATTAATGCAAAGACAGGAAGCGTATTGGGTGTAATTGCTGGTAGAGCTTTGCCTTTTATGATTTTGGTTTCACCTAAAAAAGCAGCCGAGCAGCACTGCGGTTCGCTCGGGTGGATTTGGCCGGGCTCTCGCTTGACGTCTTTTGGCAGCTCTGTAAATTTTAAAACATCCTCCGTAACGGTCTGCCGGCCGCGCTAAATAAAACCGTTCTGCGAAGGGAAGGGGAGCGCCTGGTTGCTGGTAGAGCTTTGCCTTTTATGATTTTGGTTTCACCTAAAAAAGCAGCCGAGCAGCACTGCGGTTCGCTCGGGTGGATTTGGCCGGGCTCTCGCTTGACGTCTTTTGGCAGCTCTGTAAATTTTAAAACATCCTCCGTAACGGTCTGCCGGCCGCGCTAAATAAAACCGTTCTGCGAAGGGAAGGGGAGCGCCTGGCGCGCAGTAGCCTGCCCACAGCCCGCCTGGGGTACGTCCCGGTGGCGGACCTGCCCGAGGGTTCCGGGTCCCAAGACCTGGTTTACGTGCCGGAAGGATAGTTTTCCCTTCTTTTTCCTCCCCGCGCCGTATCAGCTGGCCTGGCAGAAGTCGGCACTCGCCTGCGTGAGCGCGCTTACAGACCTCACGCACATCCGTGTCCCCACAGCTAGCCTTTCTTTCGTGGGTCTGTAACAACCGTCTGAGCATCCTCCTGCCTGCCGCTCTCCCGGGCTCCGGTGCCGCGGCTGCAGCAGCAAGCGGGGGCTGCGGCTGCCTTTTTGCAGGGACGTCTGTGCACAAAGAAGCAGGTCGCTATTTCCTTCCCTCCCCTTCTTTTTTTCCTTTTTTTAGGAGCCTTGGCAGAGGGAAAGCTCCTGTATCCCACCCCTTCTCCACGAGGGACAGCAGAGCTGGCAGACTCGCGCGGCCCTTTATCCTAAGGGAACGCTGAAATCTTAGGAAGCGCGAGACTTCTCGGCAGCAAGGAAAAAGATTAGGGCCCCGAGTGAGTTAGGAGTTAATTCATACCTGCCCTTCCTGACCAAGGGGGGGAAAAAAAAAAAATAAGAAAATAAAATCCCTTCATGCCCTTGGATCAGAATGGCTTTTATAACTGGATTTAATTAGGTTGAATGAGAGTTCATTCCTTCCCCCCGTCGCACAATAGCCGGGGCAGCTGCCTGGCTGCGCTCCGCGCGCACGCTCCGGTGGTACGGGCTCCCCGGCTGGAGTTTTCGGTTGTCAGCGTTTCCATTATAAACTTTGTTTTTTGTTTTTTGGTTTTTTTTTTCTTTTTTTTCTTCCCTTCCCCCTGCTCCGCTTTAATGCAGGCAGGAAAAGAATTGCTACAGGGCCGAGACTCAGCCCAGGGCAGGGGGTCCGAGCTGCGGCTCCTGTTCCTACGATAGGGTTTTTGACGGGAATAATAAAAAGGGATTACTTTATGTTGCTGTGGGGCCAGAGGCCAGCGCTTTATACCGCAGGCAATCGCTCTGAAGTCGATGAGATTGTGAAGCATGTAAATCAGCACAGAATTCAACGTTTTCCTTCGAAAAGCAGGGGATGTTTTGTTTGACTTGCATATGAATTGCATGTGATGATAAGACCGATCTTCCTAATCAGAGTTGCTCCTTGCAGTCCCAGAGTCGCTCTTGCTAGCCTCTCATTTTAAATAATTGGGGGAAAAAAAACATCGCTTGCATGCAAAACAGCTGTGCAAGCCAGGAGGCTGCAAAGTGTCACTGAAGATGAGTCACGGGGAAGCGAGTCCTGTTGCGTTACAGCCTCACGGTGCGAGTGGAGCAAGGAGACGGGCTTGTTTTCACCCTCTCGCTTTGAGGCGCTGCCACGTCCCTCTTCTACCGTTGGGATGTTGACAGGCAGAGAGGTAATTAGAGGGAGCCTGTTTCACTGCAGAGCGGGGCCGGGAACGTGCTCGGCCCTTAGCGAGGCTGGGTTATGCGTTGTGGGATGCGAAACCCGGGAGTAGGCGTCCGGGAACGCCGTCACATCACGAGGGTTAAGACGCTTGGGTGCTTCTTCCCTGCATCTGCAGAAGCTCTCTTCTGCCTCCAAGAACCTAATCAATCATCCTATTTAAATACAAATATAAAAGCTGCCATTGCAAGTTTTGACATCTTAGTGAGCTAACTCCAGCATCGCCCCAATGGGGAGACTGTCTAGGGGCCAGAGCAGGTGGCCAAGGGAATAGTTCATCTGTCTCTTCCCCCAGCTTGATAAAGCAGTTTTTCTTTCCTCCTTACTAACGTACCCATGCCTCCAGAAGAGCCACCCATCAGCTCTCCTTGAAGGTCTAATTGATACATCCCTGATTCTACCTGGGAGCAATCTTCTCAAGCTGAGCAGGGCTTTGAAGGCGCTTCCTCGGTGTCAGGTCTCAGGAAGGCTTTGTGCATTGGAAAGGTTCGCCCCCGTTTTTCCGTCGGTGCTACTTGGCCTAGCAAAAGGGGTTACTTCTGCCTACCAACCTGGCCTTGTTGCAACAAGGCAAAATAGGTTCATGTTCAAGGTAGTGGTCTAGGATTTGAATGCGAGATAACTGTAGGCCAAGTGAGTTTCGTTCCTCGTGGTCCTCTCTGTGAAACAGCAGTCGTTTAGGACAATTTATTTTTGTTCGTTGGATTTTTTTCGAGTATATTTGCAGATTAGGCAGCCTTAGGCTGCTCCCCAAACAGTCTGAACTATGATCTTTGTTTTTTCTGCTGTGCTTTCCATGCGTTTTGCAGGTTGGTGTACCTCCAAGTATACTTGTAGGTTCAGACTTTACTTGGCAAATTTTCTTTATATAGAGACCATGTTAGCGCGTTGGATGACTATTAGATGAGACAGTACAGTCATCCACAAAAAATGTTCAAGTAGTTGGGACAATAAAAAGACTGCTCAAAATGACTGGTCTATGTAAGATGACTTGCTCATCTTGGCACAAGCCATTACCTGGGTGTTTCTGTCTTACAGGGCGCATCGAGACTAATCATCAGCCTTAATAAGGATTGATTGTGGACTACTTGTTGTCATCGTCCTGGTTTGATATTAATCGGAAAAGCCTTGACCGTCGCGTTGGGGAAGTGAAAAGTTGAACGAGCGTCCCTTTTAAGGTACAGTAGAAACGTTAATGAGGTGTTTTGGGTATGAAACAAGTGCTGCTGCAGCCTGTGTGGGAGAGCATCAGCCTTCAGAGAGGCCGAATTTACAACTTTTTCATCGATTCGCGTGTCTCAGCCTTGCATCTACATGGTGAAACCTGCGCTCCATCCTTCCCTGCGTTTGATCTTAAGGAGCGTAGTCGTCTTAGAGTTCGGGGGAGGGTTCCTATGTTTTGATGCAAAACTTCATGAATCCAATATTTTCTCTTTCTTAAGTTGAAATAGAAATGGATCTGTCGTCCCTGAAATTCTTAATTCGTGTGGTGTGAGATATACAAAGTTTTGGTGTTAACACTTGCACTATTTTTTTTCTCGTTGGTAACACAAAACAGTATTGGGCTGAAATCCACTGATCTCTGTTATATACTCATCTGTACCGAGGTAACAATTAGTATGTTTATTAAGGAGGGGGGAAAGCAAAAACCTGTTATCTTTTTGTGGCATGGAAGGTGACGAAGGAAGAAGGAAGCTTATGGAGTAAGTACTGATGTTATTTAGTACGTTAACGAGTTAAAAAAAACAACATCCAGCAGGGAGTTTGCAGGAGTTTGTCCTGGTTTCAGTTCTTCCCTTGGTCTGCCTTGGGGAAAAGCTTGCGGAGCGCTTTTAAAAGAAATGTTCCTGAAAGATTTCTTGTCTTCTATTTTATAGAAAGCATTCCAACCAAAATGGGTTTGCTACTAGGACTGTATTGTTAGCGTAGCAAAATGAGACGTATGTGTGTGAAACCTGGTGATTTTTATAGGCAGGGTTTGTTTAAAGCATTTTTTGGTTGCTGTGGCTTTCAGGTATGCAGATTCACCCTGTCTGCAGATGAAGTATGTACGTGTGGTTTGATATTTCCTTAAAACTTTCGCCTAGGTTCCTGTTGACACTGCAGGCTTCATAAATTTGATCAATTCATGGTTTCATATAAAAATTCTTTGAACTGTTTTGCAAACGTAGTGTGCTACCTCTGCTCCCAACTGAAGTGACTCGTAACTTTGATGCAAGCCTTCCATGACTAAATGCTTCCCCTTTCAATTTTGTGTTACTTAACAATGTGTTCCAGACGTATTAGTTTGTGGGCGTATATGCATATTTAGGTATTTTACCGACCTGAATTCGGTACTGGGCTTTTGCTGCATCTGTTTTTATTACAGCGCGTTTGTCTCCCTTTTTGACTTTGATGGAAGAACTCCTATTGAGATCAATAGCTGAATAGTGCCGCTAGTTTACTGAGAAGTGGCCAACTGGTGACTTTTTCCTTGGTACGTATCTTCTCCATAGCTGATCCCAGAAGAGGATTAAATTTGTTGAGAGATGCAGAGGAATTTTTGCTTATGATGCACGCCATTAACTTTAATAGCCTACAAGTTGTTTTGATATTCAGTCTTCTGCTTGTATAAGAAAACCCTTTTTACGGAAGTAAGAAACTGAACGTGTTCAAATATCTGAAACTCAGAGCTACTACTGTCATCCAGCAAATATAAGGGACAAAGATACTAAGTGCAGTTGGGCAGTAGCTTTCCCCAAATGCGTGTGGTCTGGGTGAAGCACATCTACTGATGAGCAGGCTTGTCATTAAACAGTTTGCTCACAATTATTCATTAGTGCGGATCAGGGCTTCTTAGCAGTTCAGGAGTGAAAGTGGAAGATACGACAGCCAGCTGGAATCCCAAAGCAGCCTGTATCAGCAGGATATAGCTGAAATCATATGAAGAGAAACAGCCTCTACGCTGGTGCTTCGCTGTGGAAAGTGCAATCTGATTTTCCTGTCCAAAGTAAATAAATTGCTCATGCGGGAGTGGCTCGTCTCGCATTGTGTAGCCAGATGTGGATCTGATGTTGACTGGATTTGAGGTAGGGTTCAGCGGTGAATAGTCCAACCCTCTGGATAAAATAGCAAGAAATACAGATCGGGTCACTGGCCTTGTGCTGTTGATTCAGGTACTGTGGACCGTTAAGCAGGACACGACACTGGGACACCAGCGGTGTCTGTTTACTTGTCTGGTAAATGCTCTGAGCCTTTCGGCTCTTGTGGGCTCTTGAAAAGCCGCTCGGCCCCAAATTCCTTTACTTCTCAAAAGCTGGGGTTATGAAATAGCCGCTACCAGTTGGAAGTGCTTTAGAACCTTTTTTTATGCGTTTAGGGGTTGTTTTCAAAGTGGTTCACTAACCACCACTTACTGATTCAGATTACAGATGCAAAGTGTTCAGGTTTGGATTATGCCGCAGAGAACTAATCCGTGAAGGTTACACAGAGCTATCCTCTTAGGTGTATCTCTAGCTTGCTGGGCTGTGTCCTCACCGATCACATCCACAAGTTGCTGTCCTCTTTTGTCAACCATTTCAGCAAGGTCCCACGTTTACTCTAGCTCAGACTAAGTATAGGACGTAACGCTGGCAAACTCAGGGGATTACACTTGCCGAATGCAGGTAAGTAGGTTCCAAAGTTTAGGTTTTAAACCTAGACTGTGTCCTGAAAGGCTCTGTACACGTACCCCTGGAAGCCTTGATGTTCTAGACACCTTCCCCCCCAAGGTCTGATAGCACCTTGTATAAGTAGAGATTTTGGTGGTCTGATCAGTTCCTAAAGTAACAAAGCTATTTTGCTAGGTTAGCATCCGTCAGGAATGACGTTCCTAACCTCCTGTCCTAAGCTGCTGTGACCCATCGCAACGGATTGCTGAGTGACCCCCATCAGAGAGGTGCGTTTCCCTGAGAGGCAAGTGATCCTATAGAGAGGAAAGAGTTTGGGGTTAAAAACTGCTGTGTGAAGAATGCAGCACTAAATGTAATCCTTCTTTCAAAATTAGATTGGCAGGAGCAGGGCAAGTTTCAGATTCTTGAAAACGCACATCGGAACCTTCCTCCCAGAAACCAAGGAAAATTTAAATTGATCTCTCTGGGCTGGAAATGAGCTGTGCTTCCTGCTTGCAAACAAACAAACTAAAACTGGCTGAACCAAAAACGCTACGTTCCTGGAGGAGAGAGGCTAAGGATGAGAAACAGACCCCACTAGCAAACGCTGCCACCTCTCCCGAACTACCTAATGGGAGTGTAAGTTCTTCTTTTTTAATGCGGGATGGTTAGACTTGCTCATTACTACCTGGTCTTCTAGCTGTGCCTCTCTCTGTGCCACCGCTGGTGGCAGGCTCAGGGCTTTGCTGTCTGTCCTGGTTTAGCCGGCTGGCTGGGAAGCTTAGTTTTGGCAAGCCACGACCGGCTTGTCCCAGGTTTTTTCCAATCCGGTTATTTCTGCGAGTCCAGCGACTTTGTAACGAGGATATAAGAGAAGGGTCGTAGATGATGTACAAAACTTGCTGTGAAAACGAGCATTGCTGAGAGCGTTGCTGCGTGCGGTCCTGTCTCTGCAGCCGGCGCTGCTGGGCTGTTCCCTCCCCTGGGCTCCTTCTCCCCGAGCCTTGGGCCGCCAGGCTTATGGAAACAGTTGAGTTTAGAGAAATCTACTGCATTGTTCAAAAACACTGTGGTATTTCAGTGTTATGCTAGCAGTAAAGGATGTGGCATGTAGGCATAGGAAATTGAGCTTTCGAAATCTGCTGAGGAGCCAAGGCTGTGTGCAGCGACTCGGCTCCCAGCGGCGAGGCAGAGGCTGACTTCCAGGCCCAGCGCCAGTAGAAGTTCCTCGGAAACTCCTTCCGCGTGTAGTGCGAGCAGCAAAGCTGTAGGTCTTGATCTGAACTCTAGATGATAAACCACTGAGGTTTTGGCAGGGCTGCGTGTTTGAATGCCTTGTTCTTGGCCTTTCTCGTTTGGTAGATAGGTGAACCCCTGACCGGGCTGGCTCAGAAGCTTCCGTCTAAGCTGCTGGCAAACTTCATTTTCCACTGAGAAGGAAAGAGGGAGGGGGGCTGGATTTTTTTGTTTAAGTATAAAGCCTCTCCTACTGTTTTGGATGGAATTTTCCAACCTTTTGGCTAAATCCGGTCTATTTGTCTGAATCAAATTGGTGCTGAACCTATCCTGTAGAGTTGTAAGAGAGAAGCAGTAGCACAGGTCACCTGCCTGTCTGTACCTCCCCCCCCCCCCGCCCCTAGTTTGAATAAAACAATTTTTTTCTAGCAAGTCTCTCATTTTGGATGGGAGGGGATAGGAAGGAATGGAAACGTAATCTCTAGCTAGATCTAGCGCTGACTTTTTCTTTTCCTTAAGTAGAAAACGGCAAGTGCTGCTGCAAGGGGAGGAACACCGATCATTTTTATTTGTCCTTAAGTTTTTCGTAAGTGCTCTCGATTTCCCCGTCACGTAGAGATTTAGAGGCCCACGACATATGGCAAGGCGGGGAAGGGAGCAGGGGGAACTCGCCTGCCGTAAATCACGGGACGTGAGTTATGTCTTGGGGCGTGTGATTGTGCAGACAGCAGCAACGTTTGGAGAGCTGCTTTCTGCCGCACCAGCAGCGGTGGGGGAACTTCAGAAAACTAAATTGAATATGGGCAGATCGGTGGCTGTAGCCTGGAGCGGCAACTGGTCTTGAGCCTGGGTGAGCCTTCTTTCGTTCATCTCTTTTCCATATGGGTGTCCCTATTGTTTCTCTGAATCCTGTCTTGCAGGTTTTCAGCAAACTTGAAAACTTGTTTGGAAAAGGGAAGAAAATCCCTTCCGTGCTGTTGGGTGCTTTGTGGGGGCCGTGTTGAGTCATGGGGCAGTTTGAGCTCTCGGTGCCTGTTCGTAGTTAGGTTGAACAATCCCTTGATTCGAGCTTGTCCTTATCAGAAAGATGCAGTGGGAGAAGAAACCTTTTTTCCGTAATGACTGTGAAGGATAAAAAGAAAACTTCTCAAAGGTTAGACTTCCTCTCTAAGTTTACCTCTCTGAGGAGGCCCCGAGAAAAGCAAACAGTTATATTGTGAAGCTGGTAACTCGGAACAAGTGCCTGCATGCACTGCCGTGCAAACCCGCACATACGTACGCACCCAGTCCTTACCCAGATAGCTCCAAACCTG